GCCCGATGCGGGGCTCGATCCCAGGACCCTGGGATCATGACCTGAGCCGAAGGCAGGCGCTTAACGACGGAGCCACCCAGGCGCCCCGATACCAGTTTTTAAAATACATGTTTATTGTCCACTTATTATGTTCAGGGCACTGTATACAAATGTAAATGATTCATTCATTGTCTCAAATAATCCTGACCACAATCCTGTAGAATAGGAATCGCTATTTGCATCCTAGGAATGTGAGCCTTGAGGCTTGTGGAGGTTAAGTAACCTGTTGTAGGTTACAAAGCAAGAGGTCAGGTACCTCCTAGTGGAACCCACATCTCTAATTTCAACCACTAGATATATTGCCAGTTGTGAAAAGCTCGTCCTTTCCTTCCAAGAACCTTAGGAAAAATTGTAATGTCAGGTGAAAAGTACCAACATTTCAAGCAGATGACATTTTCATTTTGTGTGTTCCCACCCCCTTTTATGGAGTCCCCAGAAGTGGCCCTAGGAGAAACAGCCTTTAAGTTTGAGCCATTAGACAAAATTATCATGGATGTGCTTGTGACAAAGTGTTGTCTATTTGCCATTCCATTTTGCTTCTCATTGTTTATCAACTTGTGTTTATTTAATGGGTATCTACCAAGGAATTACTTGGTGTGATACAGAATATTCTTTGGCTAATGCTTACAATGTAATGGGGATTAATCGCTAAAAACAAATATGGTGTTCTTTTAGTGAGTTGACTGCCAAGCAAATGACATTTGCAAAAAGGTGAATTTTAATAGGGCTAACTTCATTTGTTTCAGTTGGAAGTAAGAAATCAGACTCTTTAAAGAGTGATTCCACTCCCCAATGAGTTTTTCTTTTTTATATCCCTCAAAGAGAGGTCACTAATTTTAGACATACCAATTAGATATGAACAAAGTATCTTTCTCTTTCTCAGCGTCAGTGTTTAGGACTACTAAGCCGCTTTGGGGGCTCTGACAGACTGCGTCAGTTTAAATTTCAAGATGATAATGTGGAGGGAGATAGAGTGAGCAAAAAAGATGAACTCGAACTGGCCATGCAGCAGGTAAGAGGAGTGGGCATTGTGTATCTGTTCTTGAACATTTGTGTGTTTTTGGAAGGATGTGATTAAAATAACAGATGGGAGTGATTTTGCAATTTGATTTATAACTTTGTTGTAATTTTACAAATTGATCAGTAACTTTGTTCTTCAAATCTGGAATTCTGTGACATTTGGGCATTTGGGGAACTGATATTTTTGTTACTGTTATTCTTCCATTGTAGATCTGTGCCAATGTCATGGAATATTGCCAGTCACTCATGTTACAGAGCTCCCCCACATTTCAGCATGCTGTGTGTCTCTTTACCCCTAGCCTGTCAGAAACCATTAATAGAGATGGACCCCGGCAAGGTGAGGCTGCTCCTTTCTTTCTGTATTTGAGGATTAAGCTGCTGTGATTAAGACAAGCTCTAGTTGGCTCCAGAGAGACGCAGTTTTTTTCTTTATGTGTAATTAGTGGGAAAATTTGTAAATGACTTTAGGAAGGATCGGTAAGGAGGTACTGTCGTCAGTCCCGTGGATAGGCTAGAGAGCTTGAGAGGACAGAGAACTTCAGGATATTCTGAGGATACATTTAGAAGAGCTTTGCGGGGAGAGTATGGTTTTGAATAGTATTGGAGACCCCAAAGAAAGGCTCTAAGATTGGTGAGTAAGCTAGCTGGGTGAAAAATGTACAAATATAACAGATGGTTAATGTGTGAAATCATGTTAAGCTGAATGTAGTGTCTAAATTGGGTCTTGTAGTATAGCTCCAAATTTCTATGCCACAGCAAAGTAAAATGTAGATGCTAAGTAGGCTGACATAGTCTATGACTTCCTAAGGACATAGTAGGTGAGGTCTGGAATATGAGGGCTATGGGTTGATTAAAGCTCTTATCCTGTGGGACACTCAGAAGACAAAGCCCATTGTGATCTTAGTGGTGCTTGGTAATGGAATGCACTGCTGCTGATTTCCAGAAGCTTTTTGTGTGAGGTTTCTGAAAATCATTTTGTCACATTTTCATCTTCAAGATCTTATTTTCCCTGAAAATTACTTAATTACATAAAATATTTAATAGAATGATATTATGAAAAATATATTAGCTTAACAGCATATAACCACTGTCTCATGTAAATGGTGCTGAGAACTATTTGTTTCTGTTTGTGTAACTTCATTATAAAGTGTCCAAGGGGGCCCCTTTCTTCTACCTTGAATCTAACATTTTAAAACAAATTTAACCTGTTCATAAGATTTTCAAATGAAATTGTGGTTTTGTCATTTATTCTTCAAAAACATTAATCATATGCTACTAATGTATCACTAGTAATTATTAAAATTTCATTTGGTTTCTTCTCACTTTGAGCCAGTCTTTCACATACCAGGTCATTCTTAGATCTTTAATACTTGATGATGAACTTTATGAAGCCTTATATATTGGTCTTTATTTTTCCTCAGACTTTTTAAAGATTTAATCAGCATACTTATCTTTGCCAGTTGTAGACACAGGAGTGGGTAGGTGTGTGGTAGGTTCAGGAACATTCAGATGTAGAGGGAGAGTTTAACCTAGCAGTGAAGAAGACAGACTGATCATGAACTGCCTAGATTCGAGTCCCAGTTCTGTAAGCGACTATTGATATGACTTCAGAAAAACTACTCTTTGTGCCTCAGCCTCCTCAGCTGTAAAATGGGAGTAACAACAAGCTCTTTTCCAGTGAATTATTGTAAGGATTAAACGTGTTACTCAATGTGAAGTGCTTTAGAACGGTGTCTGGCACTTAGCACTGGTTAAGTGTGACCTGTAACTATTTTCATTCTTGCTGGTCTTCACTGTTACTGTTTAGTATATGTGCTATTACTTGTGGTTCAGGGCCCTCTCCTGTAGCACTTCTGCTGCCTCGACCTCACACTCTCCTGCAGACTCTGTTTCTGTAGTCAGGTTTGTCGTGAGCCATCCTCATCTGACGTCTAAGTCTGGTAGCTTCTGCACACCTTAATATTTTCTTTTCTTTTTTTTTTTTTTAAGATTTTATTTATTTGCGAGAGAGACAATGAGAGACAGAGAGCATGAGAGGGAGGAGGGTCAGAGGGAGAAGCAGAC